TAAGACTTTCACATCTTCCCCTGATCTGCCACATTTGAGTACAGTCTATCTTGGACAAATTTAAGGAAATGATGTTGCTGGCTCCTCACAATCGAGGCTAAACACTGTCCCTTCAGAGCCTTTTTAGCTCCAGAGAAAATACATATGTAATCCCCCACATTAAAGTCCATAAAGGTATACCAATTTGAATGTAAGATGTATTTGCTACCTCGCTGATGGCACTTTTAGTTTCCTTCAGAATGTTTCTGAGAAATAATTTGAAAAGTGACTACCGTATGTACCTTATTGTTTTCAGAAGTATCCAGTATTTATACAGTGAAACCTGCCTATACAGACCACTCAAGGGAGATGAGAGAAGTGGTCTGCATAGGCAGGTGGTCTTTATGTACAGGTTCCTTTAGTATATGTTTCAATGAGAAACCCTGTTCAAGGGAAACAAAAAATGTGATCTTTGTAGACAGGTGGTCTTTCTATTCAGGTTATCACTATAAAAGCAAGTTTGACTTTATATACCCTTTAACAGTTTCAGCATATGTTTATGTTAAATATTGCTGTGCAGGTTGATCAACAATGCCATAAATCTTGCTAAATATTTTGGCACCCAACTTTTTTTGGACAATACTTTTTTGTCACCTTTTGTCGTAGATTAGCTAGTAAAGCGAAATTGAACAAATTGGCAACAAGCGCCATCGCAAGTCATCAATAAACTTGATTGGAAGTTATGCAGGGATTAGCACCAATCACCTCTTTGGAATTTTTGGAATGTCAGAGAAATCGTAATATTTATGAATTATGTCACCACAACAATGCACCATTTGGCGCGAAAGACATCTTGTTCAGTCAGGCATATAATGAAGTATTTCCTGAAAAGTGGTGAATTATATTATAAGGCATGAAAGAGAAAGTTGATTTCCGGTAAATTTGTCAAATTTCTGGATATTCCTACCTACACATACACATGTAGTACATGTAGGACTCCATGTATATATGGAATAAATAATGTAAATCTCCTGAAGGGAATCCTCATGCAAAATTCGATTTGGAATAGTATAAGACTTTTGACCACATTTTGATGCAATTAATTAGTTTCATTTTGATTGCCCCTTAAATTTACTGTACACATTTTTTCTGTTATATTTCTTGATCAACCTTCCCTTAAGCTATTTCTTTTTAATATCTTGTTTATATATTTGTTCACAATGCACCATCATGACAAGTACCATTTATTGAACTTTATCTTTAACAATGCTTAGTATTAATTCTATTCAAACCTCAGTCAAGAAGGAATGGGAAATATGCCAGTCGCCATGCCAACTCGTAAAGATCAAACAGAAAGAAATTGACCTAATGAATTGAGCGAGAATTGCTGAGCAAATAGAACAAGAAGGGGCCCGATTATGCCAAGATAAACGGCTTTCGATATTGATACGACTCACAGCACTGTTTGGGATAGGACCCTCTATAGAAATCTCTAATAAAAGACAAACAATAATTCAGGCATACATGCAATTCCTTAATCTATTCTGTTTGGTTTCAAAGGCGAGGAAAGAGGCTAACTAAAGGGGCAGGGAAGAGAGTGTTCCCCTTAGGGCTTAGTATACATTGAGGAGAGGGCGGGGGAGGAGTTACATGTACATGGTTCTGGACCCCCTTTATATTTCTTGTAATATGTCTTCCTCTATAGGACGGTTTGGACCCCACACCTCCTTTTTTACTATTCACTTCTTTTTCCTTTTACTTGTCAAATATTTTAATGGATTTAGACTCCCCATTTTAGGTGTTGCACCCCCTTTTTTTTCTCTGCGCTCCTTGGAGATTTTGGGATGTGAAGTCGACACTCAAACTTATGATGATACTTTAATCTTTGCTTTTCAGAATTTAGAGGGAATTTCACCCCCTCCTTCTCCCCCCCCCCCCCCCCTCAAACTTCACATTTCCTGTAAGAATTCTAATGGAATACGGAACCAAAACCCCTCCCTTTGTACAAAGCCCTGGAGCCACCTCTATCTATCTACATCTCTTTCAATAGATACATGCCACCTGACCGTGAACAAAAAACTTCATGAATTGTTATGAAATACCTTGATACGGTACATTTATTATCCAATATAATATACGTTTTATACTACGGTTTACACATGATGAAGCAGTGCTTTGGAATGGCACTGCATTGTAAAGGCTGTATTGTGTAGAGATGCATGTGACCTATTAGCCTGCCAAGATACAAGTTTGTCACCCGGTCCGTTCATACTACAATTGTACACCACGCTAAAACGTAATTACACCTGAATGTGATAAAAATTTGACAACAATGGTTTTTGTTTCCCAACCAGTTTCTTACAAAGGTAAAAAAAAGAAGTTTTTATTCATAACTATAATATACTGTACACTGTTTTACTTTTTTGTTATGTTCTTCCTTACACTATACCTCTCTGACAAGGTAATGATGTTAAATACAAATAAACAAAAATAGCTTTAAAAGCTTTGAATACTGTTGGATATTGGCAAACTTAATACAAGTGGAAAGGTTGGGACCATAATCCAAGAAAGAATTATACAATTTTTAATCGGTTTGAAAAAAATTGCAATCACAAATATGATTAACCCTTTCTCTGGTTTGGTTGATGAATGGAACAAACTGTGGGTTGCCGCAGTCAAGTGTTGTCATACTCACAATATGTAATATACTTCTGAACAGTTTGGCAGTACAGGAATTCTGATTGTTTTTTGAGCAACTGTAAGAAACTGAGGGAACACAATTCAGAGATGTAAATTGAAGATTTAGACCACCTTCTAAAGATAGATAGATGTGCATGTATATTGCGCACATCACATCAAAGGCAGAAGTTTTAATTTACATGTAGCCTCCAAAAGCTTTAACCTCTAAATACAAAAAAACTGGAAAAGTATAAACAAAAATGAAGATGAGCATAACACAGGGAAGAGATAACATCAACTGTGTCCTTACTTTATGTTTTGTGTGAACGCGCTGGCAAAGTTTGCGTTCTTTTGAAACGTTCTATTGAGACGTCATAGTCCAAGGTTCAATGCTCTTCTTTAGATGTGGGTCGGCGGACGGTGTGGTATGGACAGACCTATTAGCATTACATTGGAAGGTGTGTGCTTGTACTGATTGCCTCAGTCTGTGTACGTAACATGCTACTGAGCACTGCAAAATCCTACGACGTGATGCACTGACGTGAGAATTGTGTTTTGGAATAGTTAAGCAGTTTTGGTCGAGTTGACGACACTACTGGTACGGGCGTGAAGGTTACTGTATAGTGTTGGATAATCATTAACTGAAGTGGTTATTAGTAACTGGAACACTTCTGTTTTGACTCTTGATATATGTATAGGAGTTTGCTGACTGCTATCCTTAACATTTCTGTGCAACTTTGGAAGTTAGACACTGTAACTGCATTTTGGATTAGTTCAGAAGTTTTGGTAGAGTTGCATGGTGACACTACTGGTAAGGGCTTGTGGACTGAAGTGGTAATTTGTGACTTTAAAATTCCACCATTTGGGTCTGAATATGTTCATTTATTAATCATTGCTTACTGCTATCCTTAAATATTCTTTTCAACTTTGGAAGTTATAACACAGTAACTGTGTTTTTGGAATTGTTCAGAAGTTTTGGTCGAGTTGATGACACTACTGGTACAGGCTTTTGGACTCCTCTGTAATGTTGGATAATCATTAACTGAAGTGGTAGCTTTGGACTTTAAATCCTTCCATTTTGACTCTGGAATTTGTGGTTTGCTGACTGTTATCCTTAAACCTTCTTTTCAACTTTGGAAGTTAGACACAGTAATTGCTTTTTTGAATAGTTTAGAATTTTTGCTGCTTTGATTCTCGGTATAGGCTCGTTGACTACTGTTTAATGTCCCATATCCATAATCTGTAGCAGTAAACTTGTGATTAGAAAGCCCTTCTTACTTTTTTTCTTAACTGTCTTTATTCTCTGGGTTTGTACATACATTTTTGTTATCCTGAAATGTGCCGTTGTTACTTTAAAAGTTTATACATTGTGTTGCAAATTTGCAAAATTTCAGAAGTTACTTTTTTGTAACTAGAATACATTTATTCGCTCCATGATTAAAGATTGAAATCATTAACTGCAGCAGGAACTTGTGATTCTGAAGATTTTTTTAATTTTTTTTGTGGATACATTCATAGTTATTACACTGTCATTAAACTTGGGAAGTGATATTATTTTGTTGCAAAACATCCAGAAACTATTTATTAGTATATTCTATCACATTCACATGCTCGTAAATTACAGTTCATAAAGCTGTTTAATTTCTAGTAGTGCCCTATTAGTCTGCATGGACATCTGGTGTTTATCACTTCTCCAGTACAGTAACTGAAAATTCTTAACCCAGTTTTTATGGCTTCTACAATTTATGGATATTTTTATGATCTATTTTATTGATCTCCTTGTTTGAATTTCACATATTAATGATGGATAAAAGCTATTGCACCCATATTTGAGCGGTCCATCCAATTTAATATTGACAAAGTCCCCTATTTATTAGGGCCCACATGTACATGTAAGTATCCTGACTCCCAGGCTGATAGTGATAATAAATATGATCCAAGTCTCTGTGTACACATATCTAAAGCATGTATGTTTTCCTTTTGTAACATTTTGTTGTTTATTCATGAGGCTTATTTTGAAATAATATTCTTTTTAGTGTACATACGATTGTTTTTCCCTTGATATCAATTTATATGTATTAACACTATCTTTATGAATTGTATCTCACTCAAAAAGGGAGTTAAAGTTTAAACTTTGAAGCCTCAAGTGTTATGATCCCTCTCTGATACATTAATCAGTTTTTATCTGTGTTTCGCTTGCGGAATAAAGTTTACTTTGCAGTTCAGGAGTATATATTGTTTGTTCCTATGATAATTTATTGCAGGGAAACTATGCTAAGTATTTTATTACACAGTCGATTGACTAACTCCCTCTTGATTTTATATTTATGTCTTTTCTACAGGTGTTGTAAACTTGGCAGATTGAGAGAATAAGAGGCTGATTAAGCGACGAGAGACGGCACAATGCCGATTCCTACCGGGAGACAGAACCCATATGCACTGGAGCCAGCATACGGGCACCATGGTGCACACCACCCACAGTAAGAATAATAATAATAATAATTTGTTATTATAACTTCAATTTATTTAGCGCACAATAATTAACACTTCATTCTCTATGCGCTGTACATTAAAAGAGCAAGCTTTACAATCTACATCAACATGTATAAGAGGACCATTAAAACCACTACATGCACACCAATACATCAAATCAAGAATTGTTGCTCTAATGTAAAAAAAGGTGTGTCTTTCATGCTGTATTCATGATCGTCATGTGCAGAGAATTCCACAGAGCTGGAGCCAAAACCACAAAGGATTGGTCTCCATAGAATATGAAATCTTTTTGAAAACCTGCTAGAAATAGAGCAGTGCATTAAATTGAATCAAATTTTGGCGGGCATTGAATATGTTGAAAAGAATCAAATCAATGTAGGGATCCTCAAATAAATCCCAAAGTTGAAACTAAAAATGAACTAGTTTAGGTTTTGGTTTCTGTCTTTGGATTTTTTAAAAGATCAGTTATTAGTTATTGATTATTTCTATAGTACCAAAACAATATTGTTGTAGCCCTACTTTTTTGATCAACAGCGATAACAATAATGGATTTGTGTGGTTAGTTATCTTTTACTCAAATGTAATGACTATAATACAATGTTATAACACTGATAATAATGGTCTTGATTTATATGGCGCTTCATACGATATACTGTCTCTAAAAGTATTACATATATTATTACCCCCATCATCAGAATCATTCATGTACAACGTGCATCATCTCCATTCCCTGTAGAGTATTCCTACTATATGGACACCCTGAGAATATTATGCAACTATTAAACACAAAGGCTACTAGGTCTTTATATCTCTTCAGGGTATGGATTGGCAAATGTAGATTAATGCCTTCCACAAGGACACTGGTGCCGTGTCGAGAGTCAAATGCACAACCTTTGCTTTCCAACTAACTACGACGCTTCAGATAATGCACTTTTGCTCCTTTTTGTTTCATTAAATGATTCTGTTCTACTTATCACCAATAAATGAATCAATACAGTGTGCGATCAGTCATTCCTAATGTATCTTGTCTTGTTACAGAGCAATGAACGGTCACGGAGACAGAGGTCAGATACCCAATGGCTACCCTACTGGTCCTGGGCGCCAGAATGGCATTTCACAAGAGGGGCCTTCCAGGGGATCAAATAATAACAATCACAAAAGTCATTACGGTAAGTTTTTCAAATTGATTCTTTTCTTTCAACCGCATCGTCATTATTTAACATCTGTATTTCAACATGCTTTGGGTTTGGACAATAGACCAGTTTGCTATCATATTCAAAATGTATGCATACTTTTTAAAGAAAGGTTGGTCTTGACAACCTGAAAACATGCCAGAGGTTTGACCGAAATAGCAACAAGAAATGTATGCAGAACGCATTGTAGTTCATAGGTCATTCATTCAAAGTGACTGTTTCATCAAGGGAAAGAACTATTTTAAATTTAATGCATTTACTATACATGTCAATTTGAATTTTCAACATTATTAATTAAATGGATTAGAGTGTTTCAGACTAAGTTTTGGGCTATTGTCTGCTTTCTGGCTAGTTCTTGCTTCACATTATACAGAATGTTTCAGGTTTCAACAAGTTTAGGTCACCTTTCTTTCTAAATGAGTAAGACCAGTTCCTAACATTTCTTTGTTCATGTGTATAATTTCTGTGAACCTTCCGTTTTTCTTCAGGGGTGTACGGAGACCCCAGGCATACAGCAGAGATGAGCAGAGACCCAAGGCATACAGCAGAGCAGATGGGCAGAGACCCAAGGAGGCCTGCCTCGTACCCCAACGGTCACCCTCCACCAGAGCATGATCCCTCCAGGAGGCCCGTGTCCTACCAGCAGCAGCCACACCCCGAACCCCAGCCCCACCCTCATGGGCACCACCACCACCAGCCACACCCCCAGCAGCAGCCACACCCCCAGCAACAGGCCCACCCACACCCACAGCAGCAGGCCCATCAACCCTCCCATCATCAGCCACAGCCGCAGCAGAGAGCCAACCGGTTCCCTGTCGAGGTGAGACATGATTGATTCCTAGATTTTAGGATGGATTTGCCCCACACTCACATCAACACCCACACCCACACCTACTGAGAGATCCCGGAGTGCTCAGTGTTATTTCCTTGACAAAAATATTTATCACGGATAAATATATTATTTTTATTTGTTGTTGTAGCCCGTGAATAGGCCCCCTAAATCTCACTCGCATTAACAACCACACCCACACCCACACAGAGCCTGGAATGGTATAGTGGAGTTTCCATGGAAATATAATTACCTGGGGAAATATTTTTTTTTTTTTTGGTAGGTTCCTAGCTCCTGCCTCTCCTCACACACCACACCCACAACCACACTATCTCTCACACACTATTAAAGAGAGTCTGAAGTAGTCTAGTAAAATTCCTGCTGTATGATAGTTACCAGGGGAAAACACAAAGTATTGATTTTGTTCCTAGCTCCTCCCTTGTACCCTCTCACACACGCTTAGAGAGCCTGGAGCAATATATTTCCTACAATAAAGTTATATTTTATTTTAGTTCAGAGCCTCAAAAGTTGTACAACACAGGAAATGTATTATGTTGGTTGTAAGGCTTTAAACAAAAATCCATACCAGTCCTATCTTACTCAGGAATTTATTGAGCTTCAGTATATATCTACATATAGATACCAAAGCGAAACAAGAAATTTAACTTCTTCCAGTGAGTTTATGGCTACAGTTCACATTATCTGCTACTAGGTTCTGGACCAAAATATTCCTTCTCTTATTCTCCAGTCCAGGATCTCTGTACATTTCCAGTCAATAAAAAGGAATCTTGGATCTCTATTGGCTCTAGATATTGCTAAAATGTCAATTGTGTAATGTAGCGTCTATATTTATTCAAGAGAGATAAACAAATCCTGAGACTTGATTAAGTAATAATCAAAATGTCATTGTTTTTTCATTCGTCACAGCATCTTTACTGAAATGTCTGTTTTGTAATGTAGCGTCAATACTTATTCAAGAGAGATAAAAGTATTTCTGAGACTTGAATAGAAAAAAACATTGTTTTTTTCATTCTTCACAGCATCTCTACACATTCGCCATGGATAAGAAAGAGGGCGTGGTTTCAGTGGAAGACGGTATCCGCAAGCTGAGATTACTGGATGCTAAGGGCAAGATCTGGTCCCAAGATGTCAGACTGATGGTCACTGATAAAGAAGTGGTACTCATGGATGAATATACTCAGGTAAGTTGAACTCCTTGGGTGGTGTTTCACAAAGATCTCAAGTCGAACTTGACTCCAAGTTGGACTTAAACATTATGGATAGCCATTTGTAATTCTAAAATGAAATATATTAAAAAGAAAAAATTGAAGTATTTTACACTTTTCATAAATTCCACACCAAGAATATCAAATCTATTTGATAATAAAAAAAGGAATGATTTGAATCAACATTTTATGCCTTTTGAAATAATTTTTACAAAATGTTTTCAAAGATGCTAACGGCTTTCCGTGATTGTTCAGTCCAACTTAGAGATAAGTTTAACTTTGTGAAACACCCCCTCGTTTGTGTTTTTAATTAAATGGAGATGGTAGTCAGTTCTCATGTGCAGTAGGTCATAATTGACTGGCACAAGACTTGGTGAAAATACCATGAATGGGTGTACAAGTATCGCACAGCAAACCTGTGGGCCGTGGTCCCATCAAGAAATACCCCCTATTCTCTCAGAGAGTCTGTGGATTAGGGATTTAAAATCGGGGGGGGGGGGGGGGGGGGAGAGAGGGTGGAAATGCAAAGCATTGCATAATGCCTGTTGGTAATTAAACTGAACGCTAATTCTGGTGATAGATAACACCTGATATGTGGTAAACACCCGAATGGTGTCAAATTACCCATGAGAGCCCACTATTATCCGTCTTTAATATTTTGGGGTTGTAGTACTTTTACTCATAATTTTTGATGCCATTGTTATTTGTCTTGTTTATAATAATAATTATAATTGCTTATATAGCGCCTAAAACTTACTTATCAGAAGTCTCCAAGCGCTCTACAATAATGCAGCATAATTACCCTGGCTTTAGCAGTGCAGCTGTTACGCATGCTGCGTTTCAAGGAATAAATTTCTACCTACCGGTAATCTGGTTTTAAATTGAACTTTGAAACAAAATGAGATAACTGAACCAGAACACTAAGGAACGAAAATAGGTTAAGCGAGGATCTCATACATGTTTACATTTTTTGGTAAAGTCTCGTACACCTTGATGTGATTCCCTTCTTGCATATATATGCTTTCTCTCATGAGCACAATGATATACATGTAATTCAATGTCATGTATTTCCTTCTTGCAGGAAACGTTAGAGGTGTTCCCATTGCAGGACATTGGAGCAATCTCGGCCGAGCTGAAGCAGTGCAACTACGACAGTCTACTGGTCATCAATGTGAGATATAGCAACAAGCGAATCCCAGAGATGATGATGTTCCAGTGCGAACAGATCCCGGTAAGTACATGTTGGATACAGGAACCCAGATAACCCCAGTTCAGACCAGAAGCAAAAATACATATTGAAACTATAGCTACACGCTATAATACAACATTTAAAAATGTTAGGTATAGCAGCGAAAGGACCCCATAGGTAATGATGTTTCAGTGTGAATAGATCACTGTAAAAACATGAGTAGTAAAGGATCTTGCATGCCTCTTGTTCAGACAGTGATATCTTGTTGTTTTTTTATGATGGAGGTGGAGCTATTTTACATTCTACAGAGTATTTTTCGTATTTCTGTTAGGGCTGGACACTTACATTACAAGCCCCTGTTAAAAGTTGGCCTCCAAAGTCTCACTCAAAATCCCCAAATCTCATCATTTAAGAAGGGCAAATGAATATACCCCCCCCCCTCCCAGGTATGACCCCCTTCTATAACTTATTGAGGACTGTGGTTTATAGGCAATAAATAAGACATCAATTCAAGTGTTGTTGTTTTTTCACATGACTGTCTTCGCTAAGGGTTGCAGAGCAGTAACAAGTGGCGCATGCACACAACTTATCCCAACACTGAAAAAGCTGTTTATTTATGGGTTTGTCCAGTAATGTAAATATGAGTTTAACAAAAACATGGTTTTTGAAATTGTTTTTTTCTGTAGTGTAAATGAACCTATAACATTTATCTCTTCAGCATATACATGTAGGTCTACATTTATCATGATAAAATGGAAGAGATAAGAGTTCACAATTGACAAAAACCCTATTGTCTTGGTAGATAATGTAGGCAAAAGTTGAGCCTCTAAAGCTTATCACACCGATCAATGAGAACAGGGGTCGTTTTTTATTGAGACATGTATACATGTCCTCGGTAAAGCTTACCTGCAATCATGAGGTTTCAAAATAAATGAGACTAACGTAAGCATTATTATGTAGGCAATGCCAGACATTTTCCAACAAATATTTAAAAGGTTGCAGTAAATTGCTATCTATACCACTTCAGCAATTGCTCTTTTCCCCGCTCTGCACAGTAGCCCATTTTCCGGACATGCATTTCTGCACAAAATAATAGGCACTTGTTGATTGGAGGATTGCTTTATGTAACGCAACAGATTTGAACGAAAAATCCCTATTCATGGTCTGTATAGATAATTCTTACACTGCAAACAGATACAAAGAAGCTTTAAGTCTTTGCATATCAATCTCATGATGAATACATTGTGGCACATGGAGGTTATTTGTGTGGCATGTAAAGAGTTAAAGAGAATGTTCAGTGCTCCTAATTTGTGAAATACACTTTGTAGAATAATACTGAAATGGTGATTATGCAGTAACAAAAACAGCAATAGTGTTTTGGCAGTTTCCTGGAATCGTCAACACGACTTTCAAAATGACTCACTCTGGTGGAAAATGTTAAGCTAAGTAAAATACTTGATACAGGGACAATTGGTACATGGTACTTTGCAAACAAGGAGCAATTAAATCTGAAGGTACTTATAGCAATTCTTGAAAAATCCAGACAGTTCATGGGCCATGACAAGAATAACACTGCTCACACATTTTTTTTTGTAATACCAGAATTTCAACATTGTATTACAGATACTATGCATTGTAATAGTGTTATGACATCAGTAGGCAAGTGTTTGGGAGTGCCTTTTGACAGTCCATTTTATGGTGTGCTTCAGTGCATATTTGAGCATGTAAAATTTACACAATTCAGGTGCATGTTCACCATGTACATAAACATTTACATACATGTACATGTACATTCATATACATGTAAATGTACATTCATAAAACATATAAATGTACATTCATGTAAATGTACATTCATAAACATGTAAATGTACATTCATAAACATGTAAATATACATTCATGTAAATGTACATTCATATACATGTAAATGTACATTCATGTAAATGTACATTCATATACATGTAAATGTACATTCATAAACATGTAAATGTACATTCATGTAAATGTACATTCATAAACATGTAAATGTACATTCATAAACATGTAAATGTACATTCATAAACATGTAAATGTACATTCTTAAACATGTGAATGTAAATGTACATGGTATGTAGATGTACATATACAAGTGCATCATTCTCCTGCATGTACAATTACATACATGTCACATAACAGCTAGACATTGACTCTGCTACAGTTACATGAACATTGTCTGACTCTTTTATCCAGACACATTTATCATTCATAAATGTTCATATTTTTTACTCCTTTGTTCGGTCTAAAAATGATGTTTCTTTCATTTTTTAAACGTCATTCTAGGCCCCAGAGATTGCCAGGTCACTCCAGAGGGCGGTAGATTACTTTTCATCAGGCAAGAAAAAGAAGCAACACAGGTAAGATTTCCATGAATCAATCTCGGCAGATTTGAGCACACTTTATCATTGAATGCTTGTTTCAAGTGCAAATGAGAGTAAATATACTGTCTGAAGGCAACACAGAGAGATTGATTACCGGTATGTATTATGTGAGAATTGGTGCTCGCTCGGGGGTCGTGGAATGATAAAAGTCACATTTGTAAAGCACTTCACAGTAGAGCCTACCTGTCTAAGTGCTTTACGCTGTAAATATTATTACCCCAGCTATTGGATTAAATTGCTAATCCGCACATGATAGTGCACACGCTCCGCTCCCTGGGGATTATTCCCGCCAAGCGCCATTTTGACAAGCCCACACATGCCAATCCAACTGCATTAACCTTCTGGTCATATTTTGAATAATATTCTTCAATTGCAGCACAGGCAACCGTCATGAGTATTGTTGTACTGTGGATTACGAGGGCAAATGAATAGCAATTCTTTTCATAGAACATTTCTCATATCATTTTCTTCTTAGTAGGCTTAAAAAGAATGACAACGCTCACAGGTTTCTTGCTGTTACCAGAACTCAAACTACTTCACAGTAGAGCCTACCTGTCTAAGTGCTTTACGCTGTAAATATTATTACCCCAGCTATTGGATTAAATTGCTAATCCGCACATGATAGTGCACACGCTCCGCTCCCTGGGGATTATTCCCGCCAAGCGCCATTTTGACAAGCCCACACATGCCAATCCAACTGCATTAACCTTCTGGTCATATTTTGAATAATATTCTTCAATTGCAGCACAGGCAACCGTCATGAGTATTGTTGTACTGTGGATTACGAGGGCAAATGAATAGCAATTCTTTTCATAGAACATTTCTCATATCATTTTCTTCTTAGTAGGCTTAAAAAGAATGACAACGCTCACAGGTTTCTTGCTGTTACCAGAACTCAAACTACTCTTTAACCCTTACTGTACTATGGGGGGGGGGGGGGGCAGTCACGAGGTGCTCAAAATAGCCCAGTACAGTAAGGGTTAACCATGCTTGTGACATGCCAAATGGAAAAAAAATAGGCGAAGACATGGTTCATACAATGTCTATTCAGTCTTCCCATACAACCTTCCCATTCATTGCCAAACCTTCATGTCTACAAATAGACATACTCTAATCAGAAAGATCTGATGTGTGGCCGCCCCCCTTTGACATGTCACGTAATGTACGTGTCAATATGTTGACTTTACTTAAATGTTGTCTGTAATAACCCATTGCTGACGGAAACCGGGCGGCCCCTGTATAAAGCCTATGGCAATGCATTAATTCAGGAGTCAAAAGGCCTGTCTTCACTATCTCGAGATTGCCAAATATCCAGCTATTTGAACTATCCCGATCGCAAACTATCCAGCTAATTTGCGTTTTCATCAGACCGAAGTAGCAATTAGAAGGATATTTGGTCAGGATTGGCATCCCAAGATATCTCTTGGGATAGTTTGCAAAATATCCTACTATTTGGCAAAATATCCAGCTATTTGTCCGTGCGTCTTCACTAGACCGAAGATTCAAAATATACGCTAACGCTGAGCAAAATATCTCGAGCTAATTTCTCAAGGTCGAGTTTCAAGTTTTGAGGTCGAATCTCGAGATAGTGAAGACGCGATTTGTTACTTCGGGATTATTTCCCAAATAGCGGGCTATGTGGCAATCTCAAGATATTTGGCTTATCTCGAGATGATGAAGACGCGCCTAATGGGTTAAAAGCCAGGAGGCATAAACTGTAGTCTTCAGAATAGTTAAGAACACTTAGCGAAATGCAGTGGCAAAAAAAAAGTGTCCAGGACGCAAAAGACTTAATAGACAATGATGTTTGTTAAATGGCAGCCATTTTAACATAAGATCTAGATAAAAGTTAAGGTAACATCAAGCCTCATTGAAATAGTCCATGCATTTACCAGCTCCATATCCAAATGATGTGGTTGCAACTCTATGTGATAAAGTCATCATTTTCAACAATCATGCATTTTGCCCTCAGGACGCATCTTTTTGTTCAACTACATTTCGCCATGCTAGGTAAACTATTCTAAAACCCCATAATGACATTCTTCCTGTCACATGGTGATATCAATGAAGATGAGGCCATTTTGTTAGGATCACAGCATGTTCAATATTGCTTTCAATCTCATTTAATGCACTCAATTTACCCTTAGCAAATAAAAACTGCAGTTTGCCTGTCTCCCAACCTTTCCTTTTCATCAACCCTCTTTGTCAATACCATACTTCCATGTTTGTTGATGGTGTCGCACTTGAATGCCCTGTTGACGTATGCTTGCATTATATGTATTGTGTACTTTTAGTGAACTTTGTGACTTATTAATACATGATTGTTAAAGATAGGTGGTCCCTTGTACACACCTTAAAAACGAGCGGAAATGCAACATAGTCCAAAAGGATTCGTTTGGATGATACATGCTTCAAATGTTTGAAATTTTAAAAGCAATGTAATAGAAAATATGTCATATTTGAGGGATTAGGAAAGTTCAGCAAAGCTTTAATATGCAAAACTGTTTATTATTAGGAAATATGTTACCAGATTTTAAAGTGATTGTATTTGTACTTTCTCTACATATACTCATACTCCGACTAACAGAGTGTTTTTTTTTCTTTAAAAAATAACTGTTTGCCTTTACATCAGTAATGTGTGTGGAAACTATAGAACTTGAATAATGGAAATTATTCTCATAGGTTTCACAATATAGAGAATATATATAGATAAACATGTTTACTTGATATACATATATCATTTTGATGACAATGAGATTAAACAAAAAGATAAATAGGAAGCAGAAAAAGAAGAAAGAAGAAAGAAAAAAAGAAGAAGAAGAAGAAAGAAAAAGGAGAAAAAGAAGACAAATACAAAAAACAAGAAGGAAAAATATCAGAAAAGTATTCGCTAAAATGACACAAAGTGAAAGAAACAAGTTAGTAAGTAAACAAATTATGTGAGAGTGATGAGTTCCAACAATAGTTCATATAATACAAAGAAGGCAGAAAGAACAGCAAATGTCCACCCCCCCCCCCCACCCCCCATTCCAACACCCACTGCAAAAGCAAGAACAACAACTACAGAATAAGACTAAGTTAAGAAGACTAGGTAACCCATGGCAACAATAATAACAATGTCAATGCCAAGGAGAAAAAAGATCCACCACTTTCATCCTCTGTGCGGTGCCAATACATGGCTTTGACCTTTGACCCCGGCTGGGTCACCAGGGAGCAAACCTGGGTTTAAACTTGAAGTCCCCTGCTGAACATCTATTATGATGATAGGCTTGCTATTCAGACCCTTGCTTGTGGAGATATTACAATCTCTTTGTGTGGAGGACATCTAACAAGTATTGTAATGTTATTAGTGCACTTTGCTTTTGCCAATGAAGAAGAAGAACAACAAGAAGAAAAAACCATGAAGATGAGAAGACAAAGGAGAAGAAATACAAACGACAAGAACAACTTGACAAATATTTGAGTAATATACTCAATAACAATTACCTTACCAAATAAATATAACAGAGAATTATGAAAAGTGAACAAATAGCTGAAGGGATAAAAGAAAAGAAAAGAAGGAGTAGTAAAAGGAGAAGAAGAAGAAGAAGAAGAGTAACAAAATAAATGAGAAACTAAAGACATAAACCTGATAGCACCTATACTATTGAGAAATTACCTCATTAAATCCAAAACCATATTTTGATCAAGTTCATAGCAAAACGCTTATCAGGTTTCACGAGATGCTCTCCTCAACATCTCAGGAGGTCTATGTTTATTAACTTGAAGACTAGCTTGCCATGGTTAGCTAATATGCTGCTGTGATCGAGGAATTCCGCTGCACCCACCAAAAAATGATGCTAATATCGGTGCCTTATCCTTTGCCAATGTTATACCACACTGAACAACTCTGGTATGTTCATGGCATTGATGACGCATGTAACTTTCACTCTGAGTATATTTCGGAAGGATATTTACGATGGATTATTCACAGATAGTTGAATATTTTGCTCAAATGTATAGGTAAGAAATTCTAGACTTCGATTGTTTAAGTTTTGCTGATATTTTTTTAGTTTGATGGGGATTTGGAACTTATGTAGCAGACGTGTATGATGGTTTGTTGATGTTTTCGTCCATCGTGTACATGTAGTTTGGAATTTCACAAAGATTATTTGAGGGAACCAACTTTTGAGTGGTGGTACATGTAGTTGAGTAACTTCTGTATTTTATTATGAGTGTATTGGATTATGCTACCTATTAATACCCCCCCCCACACACACACACCTCCACACTTGCTTGCTCCTGTAGTGTATACTGAGAACCTTTAAGGGTGCACTGTACCTTTACCATTCCTTTCAGTTTATGAGCTTTCACCATTTAAACTTAGACAAATACAACAACAACAAAGACAAAACACAAACAACAACACCAACTTCAACAAAACGAAAACAAACAAAAGTAGCTCCTTAAAGCGAACTTCTTACATGTAACTCTGCTGTAAGTGGAGTTGCCATGTCAGAAAGAAACTTGTTTTTCACTGTCAAAACGAATACACCTTTCAAAGGGGGGGTAGAGACGGGGAGGAGGGGGGGGGGGGTGGGCTTTGTCACCGATGACACAGCAGAAGGGTTTGAATCGAGAGAAAAAATAATTGACCTACCCTTTTGCATGCCCTATTACATGGCCCTTTGAATACCCCTTTGCTACCCCCCTTGCCTACCATGAGTTAAGTAAGATAACGGTTACATCTTGCTTTTAGACTGAAAATATTTTCACTGGAGGAGGTTATTTATGTGGAGAGGAAAACAGGGTTAAAAGTAAATAATCACTCTGTGTTGAAAAGGCAGATGGGATTGAATAGCAGAAAGTAAATTATTTGTTTAGCCTTATTATGCAATGTTGAAGTGGTTGATACAAGACAAGAATGTTTATGGGTACCTTGAAGAGACTACCTCAAACAAGAAGGTTGAGTTTTTATGGGAAGAGATGAAAAAGAGTGTGTGAGCGCTATCATTGTACAATGCAAGAGTGGAAGAATGTCAGATGAAACAAAAGTTCCCTGAAAAGCCTTGCTCTTTAAATGCCTTAATATTCTAAATATGGCATGTGACATCATGTTCGTGTAGTGGCATATACATCTTTCTGTGTACAATGCTTAAGTGACTTTTACCAAGACTGGGCCAAATTTCTTATCATTTTGGTGATTCCAGAACCTTGCAGTACACACACATGCTATATGATCAACCTTTTCTGATCGATTCCACAATGTGTCTTCCACAATGCAGTCACATATGAACAGAACTCGACTTTATTTTCAAGTGGACACCGCTTCATAAAACTGGCCCAAACAAGCCTGTTCATATGCTACTGATAATTTTGTATCATTATAACTGACATTTTCGTTATGGAAAAAAATGCAAATGGGGGAGGGCGAAGGAAGGAGACAAAAATATATATTGCAGTATGCTTCTCTAAACTTTGAACCCACTTTGAATACCCAGTACATAGACATCGGAATGCAAACCTATTTTTAGAGACTGATACCATTGTTCATGTGCACAAGACTGTACACAACTGCATGCCTTTTCTAAATGAAAATTCATGTTGACAATTGTAGATACTAATGGAAGAATGATCATTGTGTGCGTACAGGGTATGTGAGTAAACATTGCTTGCAAAGGGGAATATTTTTGTACATGATTGGTTGTTTTCAATGGAAAAGGTGCACCAGTTGCAGATAAAGTTTGATGTATGTAAATGTTTTGCGGAAATGTATCCATTTCCTTGTCCTTTTTGTAATTGACTTGCCATGAAAGGAGAGAAGATGAAATGGAAGCAGCTATGAGCTCTATAAATCTAACGTTCCGTTTTCTTCCAACATCTCTTTTAGAAGTATTTCTCTCTCTTCATTCCTCCCCCTCTTTCACTCTCCCTTTCTGTACCTCCTTCTCTCCTATAAAAGTAGTATTGCTATTGAAAATTTAAAACATAAACATTATTTTACGGAATCATTATACCTGTAATAACACACTGACAATTAATGATTGTTTCCTGTATTCTATTATTAAATCAGGTTTCATTTCCATGTTGCCTGTCTTCGTCTTTTTCTACTTGTAATCTTCAAAGGACTATGGAGCCTTTCCTAAAGACCTGTGTATAGATCTATTATTATATTAGAGAAATTGTCTTTATTGTTTACTTTTATTATCAATATTATTCTCTTTATGAAAAACGCTTTGCAGTAGCTGCATCAAAGACTTGGAACAGCATCCCTCTTTCCATAAGGGAAATTACCTGTCCTGTCACCTTCAAAAGATCCCTCAAAACTCACCTTTTTCCCCAATGAGCTATGTCATATACTTCCTGTACTGTACCATTTTGTCCTCTTTTCATAAATTTGTATTTGTAAGCGCTATGGTACTTATTGTTTTTAGCGCTCCTAAATATTCGATATTATTATTATTATTATTATTATTTATAAATTTTCTCCAGGTCTGAAAACTATGGTATGGTGGCAGGAGCTCAGGCCCACCCCCAGTCAGATGACAGGAGAATGCGCTACGACGGAGACACCATGTACATCCCACCCCCTCCCGATGAACCTGCCCCGCCCCCACCCATCGATGGCAACGTCAAGAACAAGGTTGCTGCCTTTGCCGCAGCAGCTGCAGCCGCTCAAGGTAGGGCAACTTCTTTGCTTTTGTTTCATGTTTTTGGTCTGTTTTTGTATTTCATTTGAAAAAATAGAGAAAACATAATGTAGTCACCTGGGGTTTTTTTTTTTTTTGGGGGGGGGGATGTTTCCCCAAAAACCTAAGTCAAAATAAATCTAAATTGGACTTAAAAGTTATGGAGAGCCATTTGTAACCTTATACTGAAATATATTCAAAAGCAAAAATTCAAGTACTGAAGACTTTTCAAAAACTCGATCCACATCAAGAACATGAAAAATCCTTGATAATAGAAAATATTAATGATTTGAATCAACATTTCATTTATTTTCTAATAACTTTTATGAAATATTTTCAAAGATGCTTTCCATTATTGTTTAGTCCAACTTAAAGATAAGTTCAACTTAGGATCTTTATGAAACGCCCGCCTCGTTAGCTTAGCAAAACGTAGTGGAAGGGGATGGCATGTCTAAACCGTGAAATGTCTGGTAATGGTCTTATTTTATATATGTCTGAAACGAAAGTTTTCAAGTAATGTAATATTCATCCTAATCAAGACAGTATACTCTCAACTCTCCAATATCCAGAGATTAGTATTATTTGGTTCATGAAACCGCATTTCCTTGCTGTCCTTTTAAGATATGGAATATTTGCATTCACTGTAATTTTCAGGTTACATTCGTGCAAATTATTCAGCTACCATTTGTAAGTATGTTTTTGAATAGGGTTGAAAAGGAAATCTAATTGTATCCCTAACACCACCCCTCCCCCTCCCACCGTTCCTTAGAATGATCAATTAATTAATTATCTGCTTTGTCTGTTTCCGTTGAACAGTACAGCTAATAAAAAGGGTGCCTGTATCTAACCTAAGGGCGTGCAGTTTTGGTTTCTTAATGATTAGAGATTTGTATCATATATTCATATTACTTCGAGCAGTTTACCACTACAGGTTATAGGAATGGTTTCTCATCATGAGTGCTCTAGTCTTCTATCAAAAAATAGGCTTTATCATTTATTCACACCCTTCTTTTACCATTACAGGTAATGGAAATGGTGTCGGATTAAGGGGTTTAAAGGTTTCTGAAAGGTTACAGACTTATAACATCTTTTCATATAACTTCAATTTATTTTACCATTGTGGCCAATGGGAATGATATCTAACCAGAGTTACAGTCTCCCACCAATTACAGACTGCTATAATTTATTCTTGTGAACTTTCCTTCTTTCACAGTTAAAGCCAATGGGAATGGCATCTGATCAAGGGGTTTCCAGTCTTCTGACAAGTTACAGATTGTTATAACCTTTTCATATTTTTGTTGCTTCTTTCACCATTACTGCCAATGGGAATTGTATTTTACAAAGAGGTTTCCATTCTTCTAAAAACTCCAGACAGGTATCATATTTTCACATAAGTTTCCTTTCTATTTCCCATTACAGCCAATGGGAATGGTATCTCACCACGGGGGTTCCAGTCTCCTAAATCAGCCCCAGTGAGGTCCTCAGAGTCGGAGGAACCCATTGAGTTGCTTGCTCAGAGGACAGAGAGGGACGTGGTAAGAAAAATGAAATATATATTATTTTAATATTTGACTAGGGTCCTGTTTATAATAATAAGATCAAGATTCAAGATCATGATAATTTATTGTCTGATTTTAAAAAAATACAGAAATTTGTCCTCCACTGGCAAGTGACATACATACAAGCAACATAAACAATATGTAGATACATTAAAGGATACAAAGAAAATACAGAAAATACAACAATAATAATAGTAATACAAGCAATAACAAAACTGACATGTAAACTTGAAAACTGGCATTAAAAATTGAATCTCGACAATGCACAGAATGCATGAAATAGATGATAAAAAAGTGCTCTGAACATTCACCCCTTCTCTCCCAGAAGAGGAGTATGAGGAAAAAACAGAGAGAGAGAGAGAGAGAGGAGTCGCATGGAGTAGAACAGAAAGGAAATGTGAGGGAGAAAGAGAAGGTGACAGAAAATGAGGAGCTCTGGGAGGGAAGACTTGCTTGAGTTACTGGGAGCTGCAAACAGTTTAAGAGGTTACAATCAGAAGTTCAGCTCAATCCCACTCTCTTGAAAATACATGTACCTGAGATATCTCACCCAACTATTACATCATGAGAAATACATGAAAGGAATTAGGAAACCATGCAATAAATTCATATGCAAAGTTGTCATATATCACTGCACATGTGTCACATTTAATTCATGCAAGGCTCACACATAATACGTATCCATACTCAAGGATACCACTTGACATGATTTTGCCTGATTTAAGGTCCAGTAACCTTTCAGTTCAAGGCTCTCGGTAATAATAATAATCTGGATTTACGTAGTGCTTAAAATGAAATACCATATCTAAGAACTTTACAGATATTATTACCCCGGTCACCGGATTCACTCACATGTAATGTGCACCATCTTAATCTCTGGGGAGTATTCCTACCTTTAGGGCAAATGGTAATGACAAAGGAAGTTCTCTTCCTACCAGCTCCCCATAGATTTAGTGGAATGCAATATTGAGAGTTATTGCACTAGCCCTCCATGCCATCACTATGATTAATTTTACCCCATCTACAGGAGATACTCAACCACTGTTTTGACGACATCGAGGCATTCATCGGCAGACTCCAGAAAGCTGCCGAGGCGTACACGGAGCTGAGCCGGAGACGACAGACCAGGAAGAACCGCAGGAGGGAACACGGCGACGGCCTTCTCCTGGCCAGGTCCAGACCACCCACGGATGGAGAATACATCGAGTGCTTCCAGAAATTCAAATATTGTTTTAATCTACTGGTGAGTTGTGGCTTTTCATAGATTATAAATTGGAGCTTACATGTATATATGTGTTAGACATGCAAAACATTTGATTCAGGACATAAACATGAAAACTAACAAATTATTAATTGTAAGGTTTGTAGACTCATTGCAAGTCAGTCAGCTCTACTTCCTTCCTATCACGTACTTCTGCTCTATCTGTCTTTTATTTGATACCACCTCTTTGTTTCATACCTATATTTCTTCACCTCCTTTTCTTAGATTTAGGTCTTTGTTTTCTTCCTCCTAATGCCTTCTCTCCCTAATCTTTTTTCTATCCATTTTGTTTTCTTTTAGAAATATTTTTTTCACCTCAAATTTCCTACCTCTTTCCTTCTCTCATCTCTTCTTTCCACTTCCAGTGCTGCTGTCCTTTTGTCTCTATTTCTTTCTAGCATTCTCTCTCACACTCCCACTCTCTCTCACTCTCTCACTCTCCCCATCCCTCTCTCTCTCTCTCTCTCTCTCTCTCTATGTATATACATATATAAATCTCTCTCACTCTCTTTCCATTCATGTACTCTCTCCTTACAGGCCAAGTTGAAGGCCCACATCCACGACCCCAACGCTCCCGAGCTGGTCCACTTCCTGTTGGTCCCCCTCAAGCTCATCATCCAGAGCTGTCAAGGTCCAGAGCTGGCTGCCAGCGTGGTCTCTCCCCTCCTCAGCCCCCAGGCCGTGGATCTCCTGCAGAACTGCCTCACGTCCAGGCAGCACGAGCTCTGGATGTCGCTGGGCAGGGCTTGGACTTTACCCTCGTAAGTAGACCAGGGCCCTGTTTCACAAAGATCATAAGTCAAACTTAACTCTAAGTTGGACTTAAACATTACGGAGAGCCATTTGTAGTGATAAGATAAAATATATTCAAAAGCAAAAAATCAAGCATTTAGACTTTCATAAATTCAATATCAAGAACATGAAATCTCCGTGATAATATATGAATGATTTGAATCAAACTGTAAGTAACTAATAACTTTCAAAAAATATGTTAAAAGATGCTAACAGCTTTCCATAATTGATAAATTGAAATACAATGAGAAAAATAAGATTAATACATTGTATTTCTTGATTCCTTTAGAACTGAGTGGCCCAAGGACCGTCCCGTATCTCGTTACGTCCCTCGATTCCGCGATGGCTGGATCCCAAGGCCAATTCTAGAACCTCAGACCGCTCCAGACTTCAACACCTCAGTGTTGGTCAATAACGCATCGGTAGCGGCCAGCGCTGCAGCGGTGGCTCGGGAGTCACCTAGAAGACTATCGGACAGGGTATGTCATTTTGATTTCTATAATGCTCCATCTTTTGCTGTTATCTGATGTCTCGCTTTGTTTCATCATTTTACCTTCTTTTGTCCTCGATTTGTCCTCGATTTATCCTGTTATTATGTCATGATTGTATTCTGTTTGTTTATATTTTATTGGAATGGAATGAACTAAATTGAATTGATTGTTTACTAACAATCAAACACACCTATTAACAAAGATATTGACTACCTAAGAACAAGAACATTTGCGCATATTTCCATTTTTGAAGACTTGTGACAGACAGTTCAGTGCCCATAATAATGGAATTTCTTGGTCAGTTGAATTATTGAAACAAAGGATGATAACATTTTCAAAGAATTGAACATTGCAGTATAGAGTAAGAGGGAAAGAAGGACAAACATGCACATAAATCGCCCAAAGTGGTCAAAATAGAGATTTAAATGGCAGACATGAAAGCAGTAATACACCAGTTTACAGTTGTGTGCGCCATTTTAAACAAAGCTAATGACCTAGGAGTCATGTATTTATGCGTAAATTAAGATTGCGCCCATGCAAATAATGATGACATCACTGCCTGCGTGCTGCGTTGTGCGCGCACATCATCATTTGCATGGGCGCAATTTTAATTTACGCATAAATACCAGAGGTCAGAGGTTATTGGCCCCAATTTTGGGGCCAATGACCCGAGGTCAACTGTCTGCGCATGCGCACTGATACAACTGTAAACTGGTGTATTGTGGTAGAGAGAGAGAAAAAGAGAGAAAGCAATGACACAGGCTATAGGTGGATGTAGGAAGAGAGAGAGAGAGAGAGAGAGAATGGACTTCCTTATCTTGGGTGAAATTAATGTAACAATGTCTCACTGTTTCTTTCCCTCTTTTGTAGAGCGATCAGCCTGATGGCCCCATTTTCGGTCACAACCACCAGAGACAACCTTCAAACGACAGTGGTGGCCATATCGCCAACGGACCGATCATCCACACCAACGTGCCTAATGGTCACTCAAATGGGCCTAATGGTCACTCGAATGGGCCCAATGGTCACTCCAACGGTCCCATCGGTCATTCGCATGGACCGCCCACTCACACGAATGGAAACGGTTATCACCAGAGACAGTCATCAGACTCCTTGGGGCACAGTCCAAGGTAAGGCCATGATAAGAACAGCTGGGCACCATTCAATATTCCAAGACTGTGACTAGTCCTATGAGTGAAGATGTAAAGGAGAAAGGTGGTGGTGTAAGCATGAGAAATGGTACCAGTCTTGGAAAATAGACTTTGTTTCAGCTGTTTTAACATCTTGCAATAAAAAAAACCTCCATAGAAACACATGTTAAAGACCTGGTAATAAGGAGATATATGGAGATATAGAATATAATAACAGAATAATGAAAAATGATAGAGAGAACTGATTAGAGAAAGAAGAAAAATGAAAAAAGAAAGTAGGAAAACAGGGGAAGGGGTCCACATTCATAGAGATACAGAATGATGGTAATGGATAGGAAGAAAAAGAGATGGAATAATCAGAGAGATTGAGAAAGGCGAGAAAGGTCGAAATTCAGGCAGGTAGATGGCGGAAGAAGGAGAGATAGAAAGAGGGAGAGAGAGGGAAGAAGAGAAGAGAAGAGAGTAAGTTGGGAAGGAGAGTTTGGGAGAGATGCATGTATGTAATTATAGTTTAAAAGCGAGTCTTTGATGATGTACCAATCACTTTGTATTTATTGGATTAACAATTTCTGGATTTCTCGCATCTTTGTTTTTCACAGGGGTTCCGCCATGCCTACTCCACCCCCTCCTGCCCCTAAGCCTGTATCCAGTCCTGCACCCCCGGTGTCCAACCCCGTACCTACTAGACCCGGTGCTAAGACGGCAACGGCCATCTTTGATTTTGTAGCCCGCAACTTTAAGGAGCTTACCATCATGGCTGATGAACAGCTTGAGGTGAGGATTTGCTTCATTTTTTATTTGCAATAAACGTTTCTTTTCAGTGATTACATTTCTTGAAATTTTGTCTCATTTTAGGATCAGTCAGATCAATGGTTCAGCACTTTGCATGCATTACCATACACTGAACATGTGGGGCCCCAACATGTGACAGGTTGATTTTGCGAAATGTTTCCAATACTATGGAAAAGTGTTATCCATTTTCTCCATGATAACGTTAAATATGACCAGTGACTTGAAAATCCTTAAAATCCTTGGGCGATTGTCATGTCAAGACATTTTGAAATTTGAAAATGTTTCACATTGTCATGTCTCTCTCCCAGCCCCCCCCCCCCCCTCCCACTCAGTGTTATTTAGGGTACGCATATATGCATGTTCCCTCCTTTTGAAAACACCCCCCTAAGTCCGGTGTGTAAAGTCAATACGGGCCCAATTTTTGTGTACTACGAGCCGGACTTTGGTGCGTGAAAAGTACCCCTTTACTGGATATTTTGGTAACACGCATGGTATCCCTCTGTTCAAAGAGTGGGGGGTGGGGGGGGGGGGGTCTCTCTTGTATGCTAATTAACCCATTGCGTACTGAAACTGGGTGGCCCCTTTATTAAAGGGATATACAACCCAAATAAACAACTACTCTAAGAGAAAACAGCCTGTGTTTCATAAACCACCTGTTTATAAACACCACTTGTCATGTTTCCCTCGAGTGGTCTTTATATACAGGTTTCACTATAATAACAAATTCATCTTCTATCCCACAGGTTCTGAATGACACGCGTAAATGGTGGGAGGTCAAGAATACCTCGGGCCAGTCCGGTTATGTGCCTTCCACCCTGCTCAAGCTGACTAGCTCCCCCTCCCCCAACACAAACACCAACTCAAACCACGTCCCAGAGCCCCCTCACAGCCTACCGCCCCCTCCCCCACCCATGTCAACGTTCAATGTGAGTATCCGTGTAGGCCAGTTGTGTTTATTTGTAATCCTCTTCGTTACTTACAGACCACATCTATAATTCATGCGATTGCATTGTGAAAGAAAAGTTGTGGAATCGATCAGAAAAGGTTGATCATGTAGCATATAAATATTGGTGTGTACTGCAAGGTTCTGGAATTGTTGAAATAATAAGAAATTTGGCCCAGTCTTGGTACAGTTACAAGCACTGTACACAGAAAGATGTATTTGAATCTTGAGTCTTTGAATCTTTGGAGTGGCACAACTGTCTATCTGTATTATTGTTCTTCTTCTGTGCATCATGCTCTTACTAAATCTCAGTTCAATTTGCTCTTTTCCATTCTAGGCCCCTCCCCCTCCTCCACCCCCTCCCCCATCAAATGGAACAGGACGGTCAAATTCAACTCAGAGTAAGTCTCCCACATCCTTTTTGTGGTACTGCTATGAAAGCCCCACTGCATTACTTTGAGCTACTTGCGCCCTCTATATAGCGAACAATGCCTAATCAGTGACCATTGGTTCCCCATTTGTCAATGTTAATTGAAAGCTGATTTGATGAGATAACCACCTGTCAGTGACCTCGCAGGGAGGTCTAATCCTTCCTGGCCAAGCAAGCACAGATTGGCTTTGAATAACTTAAGTATTGGATTCATTTGAAAACCAGATGTAATTGTTCCTTTCCTACGGTGAATAAAAACCTTATTTATTTTGCTTTTACTTTTTCTGCCCTAGAGCCGAGGGAGACTGTGTTTATAGATTATGCATGCAAAATTTGTCCATTGCAGTTTTTTCCAAACTGCCATAGTTAGGAACCTATTAACTATTTTGTATAATTGTTCACACTCGTTATTTGTAATTGGTTGCAGTGTATGATTTATTATTGTGGTTCATAATTAAACATATGATGATAATAACAATAATAGTGGAGTCTTGTAAAGCGCTCATGTCTGACACATTGCCGCTTCGGGCACTCCATTAGTGATACTCCCGCTTTAGCACGGCTACCATTATGGTGCCCAAGCATTTTAAGTAATTAATTTCTACCTGGTATTGATTTACCTTACCTGGCCGGAGTGTGGTGATTTGTAGATTAAAGTCTTACCAAATGACATTATCACTGTGGCATGGATTCAAACCCTACGCCTTGTGGTTCACAGTCCAGAGACTTATCCACTGGACCACAATACCTCTACATGCTCGTAGTTCGAAATGCATTATTGAATGTTGATTGTTCTATTCCGTCTTCTTTTTAAAAATCTGTGTTGTCTGCAGAAGTAATCGGTATGGACATACTTGTACATGGAAGTGCATTATTAACTATTGATTGTTCTATTCTGTCTGCTTTTTCCAAACCTGTGCTGTCTGCAGGAGCTAACGGTATGGACTTTGCTACCCAGCTCCAGAACACATTGAAGAACAAACAATTCAAGCAACCTAATGTACAGGAGAGAGGTAAGTTTGTTGCTGCACTGGCCACAGTAATTATTAAAGGCAAATCCCATATTGATAGCAAACTACTCTAGAGAAAAACAGAACAAATCAGATTAGCAGACTGGTGAAAGTTTTAAATAAATCATGCCAATAATAAGGGAGGTATGGGTGTTTGAAATATGAGATTCACTAAATCCATGCAAATCTCAAATAGAAGATTGGTAAGTGGATTATTACTTTGTCATGGGACCACGCTCCTGTTTGTCATGTACACAAATGTAATTAATTTATCATTTTCTCCTGTCGGGCACTACTCAAAATATACAAAACTTTCTTATCTTTTATCTCCCAAACAAATAAAGAATTACCTATTGCCAATAATAATTTCATACAGGGGAACATAAAGACTTTTCAATGACACACACACATGGCGATACAGTAACAAGAGAGATATAAACGCTGAAACATGGATTGCAGAACTTTTTTTAGGTGGCTTTATATTTCCTTTTGTCTATGGAGCTCTTGAATATGTTCATTTTCTTTTGTTGCCATAGCACCAACATCCAGTAGTCAGTACGACACCCTTCAAGAGGAGCTGAAGAATCGTGTGAGCAATGGAGGCAAGTCCAAGAACTACCGAGTCCCCAAACGAAGTATTAGCGATGTGACACTGACGTACGACTCGAGTAGGGACGATGTGAAGAGGTGGCTTGAATCCAAGGGCTTCAGTCCCATGTAAGTATTTTGCATGAGGGTTGGTGTACAGGGAGAGAGAGAGAGAGAAAGAGAGAGAGAGAGGGAAGGGGAAAAGGAGGGAGAGAGAGATAGAGATAGAGAGGGAGATAGAGATAGAGAGGGAGGGATAGAGAGAGATAGAGGGGTAGATGGAAAGGAGAGAGAGAGAGAGCGAGGGCGAGAGAAAGAAGAATATAGATAGAAAGAGTGAACTAGAATTAGAAAAAGAGAGAGATGTAGAGATAGGGGGAGATGGAGAGATAGAGAGAGGGAGAGAGTTAGTAGTGTGGTCTGAAAACTACATTATATATTATTTTCTTGTATGTGAGATGAAAAGGGATTCAGGATATCTTTCTTGCTCTTTCTGGTATCTCTTTTCATGTTTACACTGCAGCTACCTTCTCTCAGGTAACTTTACCTCTGGGACAGTTTTCAGGTTTGGAATCTTGAATAGAGCCCAGCTGTTTAGTTTAATCAAGAATGAAATCTAACACATCGTTCCTGTGTGCTTATAATGATACGATGTCAAGATCAATAAAGAGTCTGAAAGAAAGTCTACTTTCTAAGACTTGTACCATTTCTCAAGCTTACACTACCACCTTCTCCTGTACATCTTTACTCATAGGACTGTTCACAGTCTTGGCGTTGTGAATGGTTTCCAGCTGTTAGTCTAACCAACAGGTTACAGCTTCAGCAGGTCTTAAGCATATGTTCCTGTTTGTTTTCTAATCACAAGATATGAAACACCTAAAATAAAGTCTATTTTCCAAGACTGGTATCATTTCTCAAGCTTACACCACCATCTTCACCTTTACATCTTCACTCATAGGACTGTTCACAGTCTTGGAATCTTGAATGGTGCCCAGCTGTTCAGTCTTACCAAGGAGGAGCTACAGCAAGTCTGCCATGACGATGGATCCAGAGTCTACTCTCAGCTCATGATCCAGAAAGCTGCCCTTCAGGTAACTTTACAAACTAAACTGTAAATCCAGTCCCATGTCACTGTTTGGCCCACAGACACCAGATTACTTAAATATTTACATGTATCTGTTGCACTTAAATGTATTTAGGTACACCATACATGTGCGTGCACTCTAGGTTAAGAATCTGTTTGCTCAGTATCGTATGGTTTACACCAAGTAGAGTGAGGAGGTTTTGTTGTTGATGGGTTACATCACCTCATGTTGCAGGTTTTTTCTCACTTATACTATACATTAATCGGAGTGAAGCTCCGAAACGAGGCTTGATAAATCTGCTGTCAAATCAGTTATCTTGCACATTATTTGGTCACTCGTGGTCAATAACTAGGGATAATCGGGTAACCTTCCAAACTAGACTAAAAATACAGTCACCTAACATGGGAGAGAATATTGTTTTAAAATATGGCAAATTTTGATGAAAAACAACGATTTTGAAGCCCTCATTCTTTTGATATTAGTGAATCTGACTAGAAAATGTGGATTGAAGGTCACAAAAGGAAAATGGAATGGATTTGGGTCTCTCAATTAGATCATCTGATATATGATTTGCTCACCGGTGGTTAGTGTGGCAATGTGTGAACCGATTTTAGTCTTGAAACTCAGATGAAATGGAGACACATACAGCCTTTTTGTAGATAATAATAATAATAATTTAAACTTTTGTGATATCGCTTGATACATATTGTATGCTTGCTGGTGTGGAAGGGGGCCCAGTATTTACACAGTAAACATTAACTTTGTATTACCGTAGTCTAACCTGCAGCAACCGATATATTCATTAGGGGAACCTGCTAGACATATACTATAGAGACGTATAACAGTATACAGTGGCTATATATATATCATATGTATGCTTGGCAATTTTAACCTCATTATAAATCATATATTTTAAACATTTATAGTCATTTATCGAGTATATTAATCAGTTTGGATATATTATTTGTGCATGAACAGCACCTATTAATTCAATACCACAACATGGCACAGTCATTTGCACGCATTAGCTTTTCAGTTTAATGGAGTGCAAATGTATGTACATGTGCTGTTAATGTTTAACTGAAGTATATCCCCATGTCTTACCCTTAATACATTCTAATACATGTATATATGTCATTTTGTTAAAGTTTTGTAATTTTTAAAACATGTGAGCAAGTGACATATGTGACATGCTAAAGCTATAAGTATCTACATGTATTCAACAAAGGCCTTAAGTCAACCTGTCCGCCTTTCATTCTTGAGTTACGAAAAACACAAAAAGGATCAAATTTAAAATTTCATAATTCAGTTGTTTACTGAGTCATTATTGTAAATGTTTTAACTACAGTATAGCCTCATGCCTTACCTCCAACACACTCTAATACAAGTACATGTATATATATATATATATATATATTACACAAAAATCTTAAATAAGTGTGATTATGATACTCCTTCAGTGAGCATTTTAATATCAAAGTTTCAGAAATAATTGAATATTTAGTATACTTAGGGATGCATATATATTGAAGAGAAACATAGTTTACCAATGTACTAAAAGTCCAAATAATAACCAAAAAAAAATGGGAGAAGTACCAGTCCAAGGCCAACAAATTAATCTAGCGCCACAATTCTTGAAACTACCTCCGACTCTAAGTCACTTTGTGATAAAATTGGAAGCTAGTGTAGTGATATGTGTATCTATCTTTCTCGTGCTGATGTGTTTCCATAAAATTGTGATATTTCCTCACTGTTGGTTGTAACCCCACCGAGTTGTATATTTAGAACCTGTGTACCTGCCTGAATGTATTTCTAATGTTTGCATTAATAACAATAAGTTAAATAATTATCTCAAATATGAAAGCGGCCTTAAAAGTTGTGAAATGGAAAATTTATGTTAGTCCGCTCAGATCAGAAATCTGAGACATGTAAAATATAGCCATTTTTTTTATCAAGCCAAAAGTTTTGTTGTTGACAGTTTAGTTACAATATGATTTACTAATCAATAATTTACCTTTTCATAAGTCCTCATATTGTCATAAAGATTGCAAATGTAAAATCTCCCCCACCCCCCCCCCCCCCCCCCCCCCTCAAATAGATAAAAATTAGCTTGCTTTTTCACCTTAATATCTGTTGGTACCCATTTAGACTTCAAATAGCCACCATGTTTCACAAAATTAAGAGGGCAAAAAAAAAACACACTAGTGTTGCCAATTTAATTTGTAGGAACCAGTTCTTTTGAGTTAATGATCAGACAGCACGTTGTTGATTGTGGCATGTTGGTGTGCACCTCTCTTTTCTTCTTTAGGAGCAGCAAAACGGGAAGTCTGAGCTTGACGCCATTATGATGCAGCGCAAGTCTCGGGTGATCGACGACGCCCTCCCCCCGCCCGATTTCATCCCGGTCCACCCCCCGGTGTTTGATTCGCCGACAGGTAGACACCTTTGATCCTCCACAAATGCCGCAAAATGAGAGAGAGGAAATTTAAATAATCTCTTTCCTGAAACACTTATTCAAATGAAATTAGTCTACAGTTGACCTCCTTGAAGTCTTCAAGAGATGGTCTATCTTTTTGCTTTTACTCCAAAGAAGAAATATGGGTTCATTGTTTTCTTGGTAGTTTGTTGGTAGTCATTACTGTTTCTTAAAAAAATGAAGTAATTCTGTCTTTTTGCTATTTCTTATAACTAGCGTACAGATGCCGCATACCCTGTTCTCACATGAAAATCTTTGCCTTCCTCATTTCATTCATTATCTGTTTGATTTCTCCAAACATAACTCTTTGTTTAATCTTTACTTAGCTGTCTTTTTTGGCCACTTTGACCAATTCATTGAAAATAAGGATATCTTTTCTGTATTAAAAACGAATCATTTAGAACTTTTTTTGACATGCCCTGTTTCAACTTAAGGAAAATACATATCGGTGAATACTTAAAATAAAAATGTAGAATTGTCCTCTTTTGTACTGCTAGGTTCTGTAAATACAATATATTCTCTTCGCACTCAAACAAATCAAGAAGAATCTTATTCCTTCATCAATTGGTGTTCTCGAGTCTTTGGTCAAAACAGTTCACTTGCACTAGTTTCATACGTCACCCTTTGCTCCCAATGCACTTGTCATTATTAATTTATTAATTTTGTTTTGTCATGTTTATTACATAAATGTTGCTTAACAAAACACTCATATTAACTGTATGTTTATATGTTTCATGTCACTAACAGAGCACTAAATATGTTTGTGAAATTCAACTTTAGTTTCATGCATCACCTTGGATTCCATTATCTTCCATGTCATCTAATATTCTCTAACTTTTGTCTCCCCTTTCCCTGCCATTGATTTAATCTACATGTACTAAATATGGTTTTATCATGTTACATGCCTTATCTCTTGGCAGACAGAAGTAAATTATAATTAAAATATTGTGATTGCTGAAATACTAATCCCATCTCATCTGTTTTTCTCACACATCTTTATTTTCATGCTTTCAGAATCAGAATTTTGTACATTTCTCTGAAATTTCATGTGGCATTTTTGTTCTGGTTCATTAATGTGCTTGGATTAATTGGGTTTGTCTGGATAACAGAATGGAAAGTACATTAAATGTGTTGTTGTTAAAGTCTGGTTATCTCTGAGGAAAAAATGGTCTGTGTTGGAATATTAAGGGATGCTCTACTTCATGGTTTTTCACTGTTGTTTTATCTCCCTGGTTTTACATTGCAACAAATGTCAAGCTCGTCATGCTGCAGAACATCTTTATTTTCAATAAGAATGTTGTTGAAATGAATATCCATATGGCATTGACATCTTGAGTTCATTACACAATTATAGTATAATACTAAACTGTAGACAAAAATGATGTTGACACTTGTCGCATGGTTCCTGACAAAACCTATTGTAATCATAGGGACCACCACCTTCCCATATCATATGATGCCTTGCAAACATATTCCTATATATCTCTCATAGAGTCCAACGACAAAATGCAATCATAATCCTCTGTTTTCACTGATTTAACCTTACACCATATAAGTCCATTAACACAATTCAATCTTATTCCTTTGTTTCCACAGATCTAACCTTATACCATATAAGTCCACTTTCTTTGCAAACTAATTCTTGTTTAACTTTGCTAATTACAGAGCACCACCTTGTACCATATAAGTCAATTGACATAATGCATCCATATTCCTTCAATAGTTCTAAAAGAAGATGACCTTATACCATATATGTCCATTGACATTATGCAACCTTATTCCTGTATTGCTCTTATAGAGGGGCCCCCAGACGTCCCATGGTGAAGTAACTTGGAACATGTCTCGCCGCTTCTAGAACCTTCTAGCTAACATGCTTATCTGCTCATCTTGGGTTCATAAGGCAGTTAAAATCAGCTTAATCCACCATATTGCTTGGGGTTTTCATGCAATAGCTTTATCCTCCACTTAACCCATTCCCTACTGGAACCAGGTGGCAATGTATTAATCATATGGCAATGTATTAATCATATGGCAATGAATGAATTCAGTAATCAATGGGTTAAATGTGTATAATGTGAAAATAAACTGCTTATTCATTTTCATGGATTGACAGAGGGATTAAAGAAAGTTGCATGTGCCTGAAGTACAGCATTGTCTGAATTTATCCATGCTTTTCCATGTGCTTTAATGTCCAATGCTTTTGCTCTGTTTTCATTTTGCTCTGCTCATAATGCTTACAAGTAATGAATCAGCAGCATTCATAATGCTTATGCTCACTAAGCTTATGCTTATTTGCTCTGTACGGCTTCTCCAATTTCATCTGAGTTGATCTGTATGAGAGGAATTCCCTGACCAATTCCTTAATTGGTGATATCACAAAAGTAAGAAAGGTCATCATTCATGCAATTGCTCCAATGATGTAAACCTGGGCACACAATAATGTGATTTGGTGTTAGCCACTCCAGCTGTTGTGTATTAAATTTCCATCTACTACGAGTTCAAATTTAAGACTGCCACATTGTTTTTGACTATGTTATATATACACATTGCATTTTGTGCATAGTCATACTCATGCAGATATCAAATTGGGAGCACAGTCGGCCAAATAATATGCACACCAGGAGTTACACTATTTCATTTTACCAAACATTTAATGAAGAAAAGTTAAGAGCAGTGTTTTAAAAAAGCAAACATTTTTAGCAGGATGTTCATATCATTCCTTTTATTAAGCTGTAGATAATACAAATGTTTTATATTTACCAGTATAAGACCACACTTTTCAAGAGTACATGCATACCTTGAAAACACATTGATAATATCTTGAAGATTGAAGCCTTCTTAAAGTAAAAAAGGGACAAGTCTAACATGTGTCAATATAATAGCCATAAAGACAAATACAAACTTCATGTGCTATGTTATTTGTACAAGTGTAAGTGGTTACTGTAGTGCTGAAGAGAATAATGTAGTCCCATTGTATTCATTCCAATGTTAGTGATTATTGCAGTACTCATATCTGTACTAAATTTGTATTCCACTATGTTGTGGATAAGTTTTCACATACAGAAGATATATATTGCAACAGTAGCACTTATTTTTTCTGCTGTTCATGTCAGCAAATGAATTGTATTCAAGATTAATTTGTATATTTTGTTAATGACAATATAATACTAATACTACTTTGACACTTGTATATTATATTTTTTACCAATAGAAAATCTAAAATATTGTAAATTTGGAATGTGTTGTAAACAGTTATTAAACAGAATATAAATTTGTGATATGATCTTTACAAATCGGTGCATTTTTAAAACAAGAGAGGAAAAATATATCATTTTTAAGACTATGAAGCGTTTATGCTGAGCTGGAAAATAAAAATTCAGTTGATATTCTGAATAAATCTACCTTTGTACATATGATTGAAAGTAGAGATGTAAATAGTCTGTTATACAATTTCATTTATGTTCCGAGGAAAAAACATATATTCCCAAACATTCTTACAAATATATATATGCATATGCTCCCTCTATATATACCAGTATTCTGTGTGTTTTGTACAATTGGGTTGTATACAGAGGTTCAATGCAAATAAACCATGTAATTCATACCTATATTTATCAATTATATATTAATTTGTGTATTTATATTAGTCTATGTAAAACATTACATTAGTGCCTATTACAGAATGTTATGTACATTTTTATCACGAATGTCATCTGTTGAGACGCAGGAGGGGCTGAACTCATACCACAGAGTTCATATGTTTCTGGGCTCTGAACATATGGTGTGTTAAGATTGTAAATCATTATATTTTTTAAAAGAGAGAGAAAGAAATAGTTGAGGTGAAGTTGATTGTCATTGCTACAAATTTGTTTATATTTGATGTAAGTAAGGATTTTCATGGAGGAATCGGTGCATGTATTCAATTCCTTGTGGCTCGGAAGATCCTCGCTATAAATTGATAAATGTTCTTCTTGATATCAAATGAGATAATATCTTATATACCACATGCATACTGTAAGGTGTACTTAAAACTTATTATGTTAACTTACCATAGACATGTGAAATATATATAACTATATATATAGTTTTCAATATATATGCAACATACTATAATGATTATATCCATCCAATACAGTTACTCAAATACAACAAAGATATAAAGCGGTATATACACAAAGATTTGTATTGCTCTTTCCTGAAAAAGGCCATACTTGATCCAAGACAATCTAAATGGAATCACTACAGAGTGAGATATCTTATATACATTGTACTGTTATGTAATATGCTTATTCTTGATATGATATGGATAAATTCATGGTGTTTGGGTTCTTTGGGGGCCCTTCACACTAAGCCTAATTCACATTGCTATCTCTTCATGTGGATGGTGTCAATGGTGTTGGTACCAAGAAACATTGACACCATCCACATGAAAAGATAGCACTTTAAGCATCACCATGGCCTATAAAGAGACTCCATTCTTTATTCCATAGCTTTAGATATTGGTGAAGTTGTTAAAAATACCTCAGAAATTGTTTATTTAATTCCATAAACAAAGTTACTACTAAAGTGACTCCTAAACTAGAATATTTTACACTCCTTAGTACTAAAGATATCAGTTTCCCCTAGTGAAAATTGACCTTTTCTTGTTCCTTTTCATATACTTTGTTTCCTTTTTTGACAAATGACAATGCAATCATGCATATCATATGATGTGAACGCACGTTTTTTGCACACCTACACAAGAACAACTCAAATTATTAAACATGTTTCATGTCTATTTGTTTAGCTTATAATTATTCACTCACATGTTATATTTCCCTTACCAATATGTTCTCATCTGTTACAGTACCGAAGAAAAGAAAAGGCACCCAAACATAAGTTGTGTAAACATGTTAAATGTTATTCTATTTAGTTTATATTCACACACATACTATGTTTCCAATACAGGTATGAATTCAATTGTTTTTACTTAATTGTAGGAAAACTACTTAAACGCATTTTGTAAGCATCTCGTATAAGTTTGTACTCGTTTGTATGGTAACAATAGAGTATTCCTTGACAACGTTTTCCACAAGTGTGGGTTAACTTATTTGCCAACCAAGTGCAAACGGCTTACTTAAAAAAAAACATTTAACCTGTAATTAAATTATTCATAATGTTTGTTTTAATTACAAGCCTGTTGTTAAAATAATGTCATATGCCCAAACGTTCGGTTACAATTTGTCAATGTATGTAAACTTGTTCTTCTTTGTTTATTCTCTGCGGTTTGATAAGAATATAAAACCGGGAGAATTCTTTGTTGTATTATGTTTTCACGTTCTCAATCTTTAGCATTTTCCTTACAAACTATTTGTTAAATCCTTCAAAACCTCATAGTATTTTTGTAGATTTGAAATTATATGAAAAGATAATGTGCATACTTAATCCATGAATAGATTTAAGAAAAAAATTAAATAAGTATCCCATATATCTATATCGATATCTAAAAAGTTATTGAATTTCTTTTCTTAGAAAGGTATGTAAGACAATTTAAGTTGAATAAACATTGCAGTGGCCGCGTTCTATAACGGTCTCTTGTTTTTATTTGTAATGTTGGATATCTCTGAAAGAATGTAAATAGTCTGTTATAGACAGTATACGCATATAGTATTATATTGCTCATTAGACAGAGGCCTGCCTTCTTTTGTAATGAAATATCAAAGTTGATTATCAATTCAAATTGATTACCATGTCGAGCAGAAAGACGAGTATTGATTCAAAAAATGATATTTCTGTACATAAAATTATGATATATCATTATTAAAGATATCGAGATTATCTAGCCATATTTTTAGTTCCTTCTTCTTTGTTAAATGATAATTGTGGGGAGTAAACTACTGATGGTGTGTCTTGAACAATTTTATAATTTGTCTCCATTTTTTCTGAGGAAACAAAATGATCGTACTAACGTATTAACCTTATACTTATGTAAATAAAGATTGTTAAGTTTTCCCTTTGAGAGTTTATCACAGAAAATGTATTTGTATCCATTTTTGAATACACCTCCAAAAGAATGATGAATATTTACTGCAAAAGACAGATGTACATGTAAAGCATATAGGGCACATATTATTTTTAATAATTTCACAGTTATTTTGATTTAAACAAATTCAATGTGCCTTTTACGAAGAGACTATGTACGTTACGATACGGTTAACAGAAGGGGCTGAATGGGTTTTAACAATGATGTTATTTATGTGTAAGATGAAAGCAGACTATTTCTGATTTATTACAAATTACATTTTTTTTAAAGTGTCAATTTATTCACACAGTTTTTATTATGCTTTTATTTAAATCGAGGCTCGTGAATTGTTTTTAAATAAGGTTTTAGCATTTGAAGTATGTATACGTTACGTTTATTCTGAAAATGTACCTTGTTCATGTCCTTACATGTATGTATTCGATCATTTTATGTACTTTTTACGTGGTAAAATGTCAACAATCTGTTTTCAATTTTCTTTTCCAATGCTAGTAACGTGTATTGTAATTATCATATCATTGCGGGCAGATTAAATTGTATTATTACACTCGTACTCATGAAGTCTGCGTGTCTATATTTTTCAGTCTTGAGTTATTTACACTCGTATTTTTGGTTCATGTCAACTGTAATTATACCGTAATTTAAAACGTTATTTCGAGTGCTGTATTAATTAACTAAGTAGGTTCTCGATTCATCAAATTAAAAAGGCAAGGTTTAATATCATAATGATAATCACAAAATAAAGAGATATATTGAACAGCGACATGGCTTTATGGGACTAGAACGTTGTAAACTTCAAGAAAAAAGAAGTTAAAAACAGTTAATATTAAATGAACGAGCTTGACCAGAAAGCTCTTTCTCTTTTTTAGTACCCCCCCCCCCCCATCATATCTTCCCTCTCTCAATCTCTCTCTCTCTCTCTTATCCGTCTCCCGTCCCTTTCTCTCCCTTACCCTATCCCACCCTCTCCCTCTCTCTCTCTCTCTCTCTCGCATCCCTCCCTCTATCACTCTCCAATCAATCGTTTACATAACTGTCACCGACTGACATGTGAGATAGATGTAAATACCGACTGTAAACACGAGATTATACATCAAATAAGAAATATTAGGTTCTTACAACTCTACATTCTCTATTTATGATAAAACTTGGATAGGTGGTAGCATTTATACAACAGCCGAGCATTCTATCGTGATTAGCTGGAAGACATTCATAAACGTAAAGTCGAAAGTTTCCAATAATTCACAAAAGTACGTTAAAAAGATACATTGGAGACGAATCCCTAAAATTTATGAAAGATATCGGACATTTATAATTACATCCAAATTTAATATTTGGGGACTAGGAACGAACATCGGGGAAAAGTAAGAAAACAGTGAGAAAGATCCCAAACATTCATGAAACATATCATAATATGATCAAAGGTGTATACTTACCTTCAAAGTTGTGATATATAAACGGAGGCTTTACAGCTATCAAGTACGTAGTCGATCCCTTCTGCAATTCACCCATCCTCACACGAACACATGCACACGCATATTCGTAAACACCATGATAACACAGGCAAGAACACCCTCACGTATAACCCTCAAAAACCCTCCGCAGCCAATATGACACACCTGCGCACACATCCACACGCACACACATTATTAATTTGCATAAGAGAAAGTATAGAAACTCATTAACGTCTCAATTTTTTCGAAATTCAATTATAAAGTGCCTTACTCCTTTGAAAGCAGCAAAAAACAATAACAATTAAAAAACAAAAGTATTCAACTCGGTAAAATAATATTAACCTATACGTGATTACCTTGTTGATACATGTGGCATGGAGCCCTAGCTAGCTTTACATGGTTTACTCTCTTTACTGATCGTGTTATCGATTCCTTGTAGTAAATTTCAAGTACCAATCACCAAAACATGTGTTGCGTTTGATGCAAAAGGTTTCAAGTGGCTATATACTGAAATCAGAATAAGGGCTTCAAATTTTACTTCTACCAAGAGATATTGCAATTTGAGTACATTTTAAGTGAGAAATAAAACCTCTCGAGTAGATTAATAAACATCCCACGCTTGTTTTTCTTCAAATACCCCATGTGCCTCATTTACCTCCACTTACTTAAGATAAGTGCCTCTTTTTATTTCTAATAGTTGCCCATTCAACATTCCTATAAGTGCCTCTTTTCACCGCTGATAAGTGTCCCGTTTATTTATGATAATTGCCCTTCTTCTGGTCTGACAGGTGCTCATTTTACTTAAACAAGTGCCCTTTTTTTTTGTAATAAGTGCCCCTTCCCCTTCTGATAATTGTTCCTTTTTATCTTTGATGAATGCCACTTTTCGCCACCGATAAGTGCACCCTTAAATTTGTTTTACACGTGCCTCTTTCCCCCTTGTTCTTTCTAATCATTGCCCATTTTCCTTCTGATAAATGCCCCTTGTTTTCTTTTTTGATAAGAGCTACTTCCCCTCCTCATATTTGCATCTGCTTACACCTCTGATAGATGCTACTATTATCATCTCATGGGTGCCCCTTTTCATTTGAAAAGTGACAATTTTCCTTTGTAATAAGTGCCCCTTTCCATCCTGACACGTGCCCCTATTCATTTTAGACTAGTGCTCCTTTTAAACTCCGATGAGTGCTCTTAATCAAAGTTGACAGGTACCCCTTTTTCTACCGATAA